AAGTAACGACTACAAACAGAAAAAGATCTCCTGGTTTGGAAAGTTCATTAACTCGTGTTATGAACATACCAAAAACATCTTCTTATGTCATTGTTGCATGGCCTATAAAAAGAAGACAAAAAGAAGATTTCAATTGATGAACTTGAATGCACAAAAAGAAGAATTCGCGTGAAAGTACAGTAACGCAGCAATCAACTCTCATCCTCAAACGTTCATATTAAAATGTGTAAAATATCACTGTTAGTGATACTGTTTTATTAGAAACACTATTGTACACATTTATTCAATTATTGTTTAGTGCATTTCCTTGAGAAAACCGGGTTGTAGTTTTGGACTCAAGAAGACTTTGGCAGTTGTCAAAGTAGTTTTGTAATCAAGATTGATTAGTGGATTAAGACCTCGTTGGAGAGAGGAGAAATCACCTTGGCGGGTGGACTGGAGTAGTTTGAGTTCAAATGAACCAGGATAAAAATCAATGTGTTCTTTATCATTGAATTTTGAGATCCCAGTTCACCCCCCCCCCCCCCCCCCCCTTGTGTTTTTCCCTTCTTCAATTGGTATCAGAGCACTTGGATCTTGGTGAAAACACTTAACCGTGTCAGAAAAAGATTCAAGGAGGAAAAACACTATGATGGGACCAAGTCAGAACATCAGCAGCAGCCTCCCAATATTTGACGGTGAAAATTTTGACTACTGAAAAGATATGATCAGAAGTTTCTTCCTAGCTATGACGCTGAACTCTGGGATATGGTGACTGATGGGTACATACATCCTGTTGATGAAAGAGGTCAGAAGATTGATAGAAAAAGAATGACATATCATCAAAAGCAAGACTTCAAAAATCATCACAAGGCCGAAACTATTCTCTTGAGTGTCATCTCATACTCAGAGTATGAGAAGATCACAAACAGAGAGACATCAAAGCACATGTTTGATTCCTTAAGAATGATGCATGAAGGCAACACGCAAGTCAAAGAAGCCAAATCCCTTGCGCTCATTCAGAAGTACGAAGCCTTCAAAATGGAAGAAGATGAAACCATTGAAATAATGTTCTCTAGATTTCAAATTCTAGTTGCTGGGCTAAAGGTTCTGGACAAAGGCTACTCAACTGCTGATCATGTAAAGAAGGTCATCAGAAGTTTATCAAGGAAATGGAGACCCATGGTCACTTCTCTCAAACTTGCAAAAGATCTGAACAAAATCTCTCTAGAAGAACTTGTCAGCTCTCTCAGAAGTCATGAGATAGAGTTAGAAGATGATGATCCCCATAAGCAAGGTAAGTCCCTCGCTCTGAAATCTAATAAATATGAAATCAAATTTTTGCAGGAAAAAGCAGAAGCAGAAAACTCTGGTGAATCCTCGTCAGAAGAAGACGAATTGTTCCTTCTATCCAAAAGAATCAATCAGTTGTGGAAGCACAGGAAGAGGAAATTCAGAAACTCCAGAAGAAAAGGGAATAACTTTGAACAATCTTCTGGGTACAGAAAATCCAGAAACATTACCTGTTATGAATGCAATAAACAAGGTCACTACAAAAGCGATTATCCAAGGCTTCAGAAGGATAAACCTAAGAGGAAGATCGTTAAGGAGAAGAAGAAAAGTCTTATGGCAACGTGGGATGACTCTGAATCTTCTGAAGACGGAACAGAATCAGAAGATGAACAAGCCAATATAGCTCAAATGGATAACTTATCATATGTCTCAGAATCCTCTGAATCAGAATTAGAATTAGAATTAGAATCAGAATCAGAATCGGACTCAGAGTCAAAAGAGGTATATTCTAACTTTTCTAGATCTCAATTAGAGGAGAGTCTGTCAGAAATTCTAGAAAGGTATCAGACGCTTCGAGTCATAAACAAGAACCTGAAAAAGGATCTAGTTTCTAACTCTGAAGAAACTAAGAATATGAGACTAGAAAATTCTGAGTTAAAAGAAAAAAATTTAAAACTTGAAAATGATTTACAAAATACTCAGAAGGAAACTGTCTCAAAAGTTCCCAGTAACCCTGATAAAATCATAAAGGAATATGATCACAGCTTTCAGAAGCTCCTCGCTAAAAACATAGATAGAAGCAAGATGGCTTCTATGATCTATGGAGTTAGTAGAAATGGCATAAAAGGGTTAGGATACAAAGGTAAAGTATCTCAACTTAAGAAAGTCAAGGATTTGGTTATTAAACGCACTCCTCTTTATTCTCACTTCACTACTGGGAAAACACATGATATAAAATATACCAGTAAGGCGTTTTATGCTAAACCAAAATTCAAACAGAATTTTGGAAACTCTAACAGTCATGGAACCAAAAAGATGTGGGTACTAAAAGACAAAATCATCTATGTTGCTGATATTTTTAATAGCAAAGTTGAAACACCGGTATTAACACCTGGATTCTGGATGCTTTCTACACATGACGGGAAGAAAGCATATGTTCTAAAGCCTGGAAGTTAAATCTGGAGGATTCGCAAGTTTCAGAGGCAATCGGATAGAAAAAGCTATTATCTCTGGAACTATTGGGAACGGTAATGAGAATACAGCATCAGAAGCTCTCTAAAGAATCTCAGTTGAGTCCAGAAAACGATTTTCACACCTTCTCAAGCAAATTCCTACTTTTTGATTATTGACAAAAAGAGGGAGAACCAGTGATATTTTGATGCCTATCAGAAGATCTTCAGGGAAGTATTTTATTTGCTCGTTATCTGAGTATTATACTCAGAGGGTGTTTATCCTTTGTTCTTTATGCTCCATCAAAATATACAAGTTTTTGTCATCATCAAAAGGGGGAGATTGTAAGAACATAATTTGGTTCTACATTCCTGCAAGAGTTTTGATGATAACAAACAGATGATATATATATATAAAGAACAAATATGCTTGCAATAAAAGTATCTTTATATGCAGAAAATTATGATGTGAAAAAAGATGTTCTGATGTAAGGAGCATAGACGATCTGCCAGAACATCACTAAAAGTTCTGATTATGCAAGCACAGAAGATGAGAGCACTGTGATAGAATCAGATGCATCCTTCTTAGAAGCAAATATGTGTGACACGCTTATATAAAGAAGTTATGTTACAACTTTTGAATGCACCAGCACTGTGAAACATGATCTCTGATACTCTGATCTATAAATTTCTGATACAAGCTGTAAAGGACTCTCAACGGTAACATTCATCCTCTGATGTGAGAAGCTTTGAAGCGTTATAATTTATCAATGCATATCAAAAGTAACGGCTACAAACAGACAAGGATCTCCTAGTTTGGAAAGTTCATTAACTCGTGTTATGAACATACCAAAAGCATCTTCTTATGACACTGTTGCATGGCCTATAAAAAGAAGACAAAAAGAAGATTTCAAGTGATGAACTACTGCGCACAAAAATAAGAATTCACGTGAAAGTACAGTAACGCATCAATTAACTTTCATCCTCAAACGTTCATATTAAACTGTGTAAAACATCACTGTTAGTGATACTATTTTATTAGAAACACTATTGTACACATTTATTCAATTATTGTTTAGTGCATTTCCTTGAGAAAACCGGGTTGTGGTTTTGGACTCAAGAAGACTTTGTCAGTTGTCAAAGTAGTTTTGTAATCAGGATTGATTAGTGGATTAAGACCTTGTTGGAGAGAGGCGAAATCACCTTGTCAGGTGGACTGGAGTAGTTTGAGTTCAAACGAACCAGGATAAAAATCAACGTGTTCTTTATCATTGAATTTTGAGATCCCACCCTCTTGTATTTTTCCCTTCTTCACTTTCTTCCTCTTTTTCAGCACAACCAAGTTTTCCTTCCAATGTGTTCTTCCTTACACACTATCCATATCAACCAGCTGCTTGAAATATTAATTTCCCTTTGGTCTAAGTCTCTCGTGTTCTTTTCGTTTATGCCCCTTGTAGCAGACCACTGCAGTCTTGCCTCGGCTTGACTCTACGAACCATTACTTACAAAACACACATTAATAATAAAAATAGAGCACCTATTGTGCTCCAATCTAAACTAATAAAAATAACTCAAATGCAAGAAATTATAACTATTAAGCAAATAAAAAGACTAATTAACTAAAACTAAAGGCAAGTATTAACTCACAAAATATGGATTAACATCCACGGGGACTGATCTTTTATAGACCACTATGTATTTGTCTTTTCTTTGGAGGACAAAATTTTAGGTCTTTGTATTTAATCCTCTTCTATCTCAAATGTGTGAAGTCCGTTGTCATTCATAAATTCAAGTTTAAGACGATTAAATACGGCTAGCTGTCATATCCCATATTTTCCCTACCCATTTTTATTTATTTAGCTTGTTATTAATTTTGTCGGCATACATGTAAATGGCTAGATCTCATAACATTCATTCATTTAATATCCTCATCCATCATATGGTCCATTTTGCATCTTAAATCATTTTAGGTTAAAAGCTCTTTGGACGGGATTGAACTTTGATATGTCAAGGTGGGTTTGTTTCCTAAGGGCTTAATGACCAAATAGTTCTCTCCTGGTTGTTTTGATTTAAGGCATTAGTGTTAGTTATTTTCATCTTATGATGTGGTTTTATTGACCTAAGGTTCAAGCATTATTAAAATGAAGAGAAAACAAAGACTTGAATAAGGTAAAGGAAAGAAGCATTTGATTTGGAAGAAGAAAGGAAGATTCATTAAAACTTTGAGACATTTACAAAGTCAAACTTAGCTATTACAAGTTCAATTATAAAACCAATGTATTTCGAAGTATATGACCAAGGCTAAGCACAAATTTACATTACACAACTACATGAGAAAATGAACAAAAATAGATAGTTGACTTTTTGGTCAACAAGGTTGACTTGTTGACCAGACCAAGAACATGTTTACCAAAAGTCTTCAAAATTGTTCTTCAAATAATCTCACATAAACCCTTATGCCATGCTTTGCTTCGAGCAAACTCATTGATTAATTCAAGCTTACCATGCCAACTTAAACCTTACAGCATAAGTGACCATGCTAAGCTATATAATATTGTTTCAACACTTCAAAATCTGCATAGCATAACCAAAAGAAGAAAATAGTTCAGCATACACTACTATGAAAAAGGCATACAACAACGGCTGGAAAAGACATATAATCACGCAAGACCAGACGTTTTTATATAGCGTGTGGTTGTATATACATTACTTACAATCACGGTCCAGTGACCTTTATAGTAAACTATCTATCACAACAATTAACATAATCAACGGTTGTCATAAATATAGTGTCACGGGTTCAATACCCAACTACAACCAAAATTAAAGCGCATAGCAAATAACATTTCACCACGGTTATAAGTTCCAACTATTGTAATATATGTACGAGTTTATTATAAAATATGAGATTGCTTGTTTTTCCCTTTCCCTCATTAACCATATACAACCATTCAAATAGATTTTTGAGATAATAATCAGAAAAATTAAATTATTTTTGAAAAACATCTTAGACGATTCAATGTTTTCTGAATTGCATATCGTTTATAAATCATGATTTCCTCTTTAGCCTATAGAATTTGATTCAATCCCAAATTCTTCAAAGTAATGTTGATGAATGAATGTCAGTCTGAGTCTTTCGCACAAAATTTAATTCCCTCTTCTTTTCTAGTTTATTTTTCAAACATCAAGATTTGTGTGAAAGATCCAGACTGACATCCATTTATCAATATTGTTTTGAAGAATTTGTGGCATTGAATGAAATTCTATATGCTAAAGAGGAAATTATGATTTACAAGATACATGCAATTCGAAAAAATATTCGATCGTCTAAGTTGATTTTCAAGAATAATTTACTTATTTTAATTATTATCTCAAAAATCAATTTAAATGAATACAAGTTCAATGAGGGGTTAATGACGAAGAAGAGAAAAAATGGGTGTTAGAATTTTGCTGTGAAAGATACGATGATACTATCAAGAAGCGAGAGTTAATTCGCTTATATATACTATCAAGAAGCAAGAGTTAATTCGCTTATATATGTCCTAATAATTTTTAATTAAAATAAAATAAAATGTTAACGTCTGAGTTTAGAGATGTCACCACGGTGTTTGGAAGAACCGTGGTGACTTGGGCGTTGTTATTTCCGTGTTTTGTAGTAGTGATCATTCTTCTCCATGCTTCAAACCTGCTATGCATAAACCTACAACAGAGCTGACAACCTTGCATAACCAAACATACATCAGTGTCATTTTATCTTCACATAATCCAAGACATTTAGCATTCAAAAATTCAACCTTTAAGCCTTGCAGTCACATCGAGCCTGCATAAAACATGAAGCTCAATTCAGTCCAAAAGTAAATAGTCAAACCATGCAAGTTTGGTTCAGAAAGTATGTGAAATGCATCATACAAAGCACTAATTCAAAACCAATGCACAAAGTCAGTCAAGCAATCATAAATCCATTCAAATTCATTCTACTTTAGCCTATGTTTGGCCTAAAATCAATGCGAAATGCAAGCTCAGTATGCACACCAATTCATTATGTTCATTCAGAATTAGTTCAAACACTCACGGATACACAAATATGATTAATGCAAGCACAATTCATAAGCAAACAAAATTGCAGTTTAATTCAATCCAAGAACAATCAAGTGCAAATGCACTCCTTAGCCATAATTTGAATTTAAGCTGACAACCACAATTTGAATTTGAGCAAAGCTAAGTAAAGCTCAAACTTAGTTTAAAAAACAAATGAAAGGCACAAGGAGGTACATTGAAGTTCAGTTCAAATAGTCATGCATAAGTCAAACAAAATAACAGTCATGTTTAAACATAAAGAGAGAAGCTCATATCAAGCTAAACCTATATCAAAACTCCATCCTAGTATGCAGGAATGCAAGCCAACTTAACTGAAATTCAAGCCTAATGTAAGCTGACTAACCTAACAGTTTAACTAACCTAATGACTTAACTAACCTAACTTCCAAGCCAAGCTGAAGCCAACTTACTCAAACAGAATTTCAAACCAACAAATAACTCTCAACTGTACCTAAACACAAATTCACTATAAACGTGAATTTCAACAAAACCATGTTGAAATTCACTCCAAATTCATTCTAACCTAATCTCAGCTATACTTAATCACCTCAAGGGGATCAAAATCTTAAGGGCTCTCATTCATCAAACTCTAACCAACCCCCTAACTACATTTAATCTCCTAATTAACTTCACATTACAACTAACTAAAATCAGTTACAAACTAAACCAAATTCACTTTATCTCAACAAAACCAAAGGAAAACACAAAATCAAATCCACTGAGACACGAATCACTCAAATTTCAATCATCACCATCCAATCTTTACAACCTCTAACTGCTTCTAACTCCTCTAACAACTTGCTACCTATAAAAACCTACCTTTATCATCAAGCCCAAGCTAACTCTTCTTCTGAAGAATTCCCATAACTCACTTCCTCTTCCCACTCTCTACAAACTCCTCACCTTCCATCTCTCTCATCTTTTCTCAAACCCTTATCACTAAAGCTCAAAACCCAGCTATTTAGAGTTTAACGTTGAAGCTCTAAAATAGTGATCTAAACCTAAACAAGCACTTCTTCATCATCTCCCTCTTTAATCGTGATCTAAACCTAAACAAGCTCTAAAATCGTAAAATGAAAAGTGAGAAATAGACTTATCCCTTTTAACCCAACCTATGTCTTTACATACCCTTCTTTTACACCATAAACCCTCTAGCCTTTGCTTCCATTAGGTTTCGAATTGGGCTCCATAAAAATCAGGTGCCCAATCCAATTAGGTTTAATTTGACCATTTAGTTTTTTTACAAATAAAAAATTGGTGATTAATTGAATAATTAGTCAATAGTTTTTACAAATGGGCGAATTAATAAATTTTTTATTAATTGACTATGTGTTTCGGTTACTAAATAATTAGTTATTTTTGTCCATAAAAAATGGTTATATGATTTGATAAATATTTTAATGGTTTATTACGATCATTTGAGTTAATTGTCCATGGATTCACATTATAATCTATATTATAAACCAAAATACTATTTTTATAATAAACGGATAAAAAGGATTGGTTGGACGTATGTCTCTCTTTTTCTCGAGTATTTGAATGTCCGCTATATAACTAGTGGTTTGAATACTTGTCTTTCTACTAAAATACTTAATCAGATGCAATCAAACGCCACGAGCCCTAAGTAGTGAAGAAGGAACATTTGACATATGTCTCTTTGTTTCGAGTACTTGAATATTGTCGTATGACTTTTCGCTCAAAGTGTTCATCTTCACTCATGGACTTTAGTTCGATCTTCATCAAACATTTTTCATAATAAATGAGGAAAAAGGTCTTGTTGGACGTATGCCTCTCATTTGCACAAGTATTTGGATGCTTGATGTATATCTTGTGGTCTAGATACTTGACTTCCACACTAAAATCAAACATAACCAATCAAACTCTATTTTTCGCCTTAGGGAAACACAAAAGATCTTTTCATAAACGAACAAGTTATACCCATTCTATCACAATACAAACTAATGCTTAAGCCTCCTATGCGCGAGCATGCAAGCTATGTTTAACTGCTAGAATACGATTCAAGTGTATCCATTCTAACGTAATACAAACAAACTGTCAAGTCTCCCATGCGCGAGCATACAAGCAGCGTTTAACTTCTAGAACACGGTCTTAACACCATTCAATAAAATCAACTAACAAATACTTATTTTCTACCAAGAACTACGTAGCTCTGAGTTCTCTATCGCTCCTGGAGATATGTATGAGTAAGATTTGAAAATCTTGTCAGGCAGATTAATTAAAAAATTGTTTTTTTCTCCTAATTAAAACTTTAATTTTAGCCTTTAAAGATAGAATAACAATCGAGAGAAATCACAAGCAAACTTTTAGCTAACACCTACATGTGAAACGATCAAACGGTTCTTGTTGAATACAACATATGTGAGGGATGCTAATACATTCCCTTTGCAAAATCGACTCCTGAACCTAAATTTGATTGTGACGACCATTTTCTTTTTAATTTTGGGGTTTTATCGATATTTTCCATTTCCTTTGGAATAAATAAAGTTCGGTGGTGACTATGTCTATATTTCGAGCGTTCCTTAGGCTCGGGTATTTTTCACGGTGCGATACTAATGTGCATCAAACGTCTTCATGCAGCTATAATTTAAAAAATTCCAACTTCACCATCCAACGGATATATTCATCATCTATACAAAGGAGACCTTAAAGCAATGTAAATAGAGTACAAGAACGTACATAATGAAGTGAGAAAGATAAAGTGAGGAGCGCTCAGAACTAAAAGTTGAGAAACTACATAAAGAAGAAAGTTGTTATTATTCTGAAAGCTTTATTCCTTTCATTCTTTGTGAATCTTGTTGTATTGAAACTGTGTGTATCAACTTTATTAGAAGCACTTCGTAAACACAAAATCTTGTAAACTTAACAAGTTGGTTGATTTCCTAGAGGGACTAGGGTATAGTCAGAATCCTTGAGAAGACATTAATTGTGGTCTTTGTGGTTGTAATCCAAGTTTTTGATTAGTGGATTAAGTCTTTGTTGAGAAGGAAAAATAAGTTTGGTGGATGGATTGAAGGTAGCCTTGTTAACCGTGAACCAGGATAAAATTCTCGAGTTCTTTATCTTTGTTGAATATGTGTTGTTTGGGAGAACAAAAAAAATTTAATCTTAAAACTCAATTCAAACACCCCCTTTCTCGTGTTTCATTGAACCTTCAGAAGTATATCAGAAGTTGGAAGCCCATGTAGTAGGACATGTGTTGAACGCCTAATGAGTAACCCGTTATAGACACTTACTTAAATTTACTATATAAATCAAATTAATTCACATAATCAAGGTTGCAATTTGTACTTATTCTCTATAGAACTAAAGTATCCAAGTCACGAGAGAAATAATATGTGAGAAAATTTATGATTTTGTTTTCTTTCTTCAAATTCTAGCATTTAGTTTAATGATATTTATTATGTTTTTCATTTACTTTCTTCTTCCAAAGCAATTTTATATTGTTTCGATCATTTATTTCTATCCAAATTCTTGATATCCAAACATTCAAGTTCCAGAAACAAATACTTGTTGATACATTATTTTGCACAAATTATTCTTAAGATTTTTTCGAGTTTAATCAATTAAATAAACTAAAATTTATAATTTAATTTACTAAAAATACCATTAAACAAGATCGCAAATTATTTTATGTTGTCAAATGTTAATGAGGTTTCTATACTATGTGTAGAGGTGGTAATTTATAAATTGTAATCCCATTTAATGGATCTAGAGTCATAATTTTTGTTGCTAATAAAATATCAATACTGGTGGTGATTCTTATCCATGGAAGACCTTTGATTTTATAGTAATGTCTATTGGAAAGGATAAAAGCTCTTCAATTTGGCATATGACGTTGACGCAAAATCATTATAATATGTAAGGATTAAGACTTCAAGATAACTAGTTAAATAAGAGCAATTAACATTTCACCCATCCGCATGTTATATATATATATATATATATATATATATATATATATGGTATTTTTTAAAGGGTATGAAAAGACATAATTATTCAAATTTAAAAATTTCTCAAAAATTTAAAATTTGTGGTATCACATCGAAAATTTCAAATTCTTTGGACGATACCAGAAATTCAGAGGCGATACCGGAAATTTGTTGAACAAGTAAGGAATTTACGGTAGATTTGTGATATTTCCGGTACTTTATATCAAAAATTTCAAATATTCAGTATATTAGAACCGAAAATTTTGAAATTTCTGGGTAATACATTTATCTTTTGTACCGGAAATTTTGAAATTTCCGGAGCATAACAGCATGTACCGGAAATTTCAAAATTTCTGATAGTTCAATTTTTTTAAAAAAATACTGGAAATTTAGAAAATTCCGGTAGTACATATTTTCTTAATTTTTTTCAATGTTTCAGTGAGGATCAGGGGCAAAGATGGTTCTGTTGCGGGTAGGGTGGCCGATAGAGCAGAAGCTCAAGCCCGGACTGACGAGGCACATGCTTTTGAGCTACGGGCTGAACGACGTCCTCCGACCGATTCTTACCGGAAATAGATGGCTGAGCAGCAGGCGCAGTTTCGTACACCCCGTCGTCGAGGACTTAGAGTTTCTACCGCTGATGAGGTACATAGTTCTGCTCCTGTGGACGTGCTTGTGATTGAGCCGATTGTTGAGCAACATGTTGAGGAGTTTGTGCCTCTTGTGGAGCCGGCAGTTGAGCCGGAAGCCGAGTCGGTTATGGAGCTGGCAACTGGGGAGATTGTATAACAGGTTGAGGTGGTTATTGTTGAGCGTGTTGACGAGGTGCCCCTCACGGATACAGACACCACGACTCGTGTGTCTACAGAGTCGTCCGTTCACACTGATAGAGCCTTTCAAAAAGGACCTTCAGATAGGTCTATGCTGACATAATTTGTTGACCATGTTGCTTATAGGATATGGCATGGCGATGTGTGTGTGTGTGTGTATATATATATATATATATATATATATATATATATATATATATATATATATATATATATATATATATATATATATATATATATATATATATATCTTTAATTGCACAATTTTTCAAGTGTTTGAAAGTTGATGTATTTTATTTTTGCTTCTTACAAGAGCGCCCGGTGTTGAAGGTCATTTTTCATGGTTTAAAGTTGAAGAACTTCCCAGAGAGTCTCATGCCTGAGGAGGTCAGTAGTATTGTTAGAGATTTCCAGCTGCTGGAGTTCGCCCAATGCTCCTTGACCATGTTGGACGCCTCTCTGTTGTCTACTTTTGTTGAGCGGTGACACCCAGAGACATCATCATTTCATCTTTCACTTGGGGAGATGACGATCACATTGGATGATGTTGTCTCTCTATTTCACATCCCGGTCGTTGGTACATTCTTCACACCTCCTCATATTACCCATGCGACAGCGGCGCATATGGTTATGGATGATTTGGAGGTATCTGAGGCGAAGGTGCTAGAGGAGCTTGACTTTAACCGAGGATTTCACCTTAGAGTGTCTTGGTTGAGGAAATTGTAAGTGGAGCTTGTGGAGGACCATAGATTTCAGGTTGCCGCTAGGGCGTACATGCTACATCTGATGGTATGTACTCTCTTTACGTCCATGGTATTTTATTCATAATCTTCAATAAATTATATGATGATGTATATATTCAGAACCATTTTATGAAATAAATTTATTCCCTATCCAATTTCATGTGTTATTATATGTTAGACCCATATTTTGTAAAAATCATTGCTTGATGGAGATTTAGAATCATTGCTTTAACTATTTGTTTCACACTTAAATTTCCCCTTGCACGGGAAAGAATGGCGAGTCTAATGTGTTAGGAAAAAACAAAACATAGATAAAAAAGAGAAACATAATAACAACATAAGAGAGTAACGTGGAAACTCCAAAATCGGAGAAAAAATCACGACCGTTGTCAAATA